GAGAGCAGTTCAGCGAGAGTTAGGCACACGGGTTGAGTTAAGCACATCGTTTCATCCTCAGATGGACGGGCAGTCCGAGCGGACCATTCAAATTTTGGAGGATATGCTCCGAGCTTGTGTCATTGACTTTGGAGGCTCGTGGGATCAATTTTTTTGCCTTTAGCAGAGTTTACCTACAACAATAACTACCAGTCGAGTATCCAGATAGCTCCTTATGAGGCTTTGTATGGTAGGCGGTGTTGGTCGCCGGTTGGATGGTTTGAGCCGGGAGAGGCTCGGTTGTTGGGTACGGATCTGGTTCAGGATGCCTTGGACAAGGTCAGGATTATTCAGGATAGGCTTCGTACAGCTCAGTCTAGGCAAAAGAGTTATGCCGACTGTAGGGTTTGAGATTTGGCATTCATGGTCGGTGAGCGGGTATTGCTTCGAGTGTCCCCTATGAAGGGCGTGATGAGATTAGGATGAAGGGCAAGCTTAGCCCTAGGTTCATTGGCCCGTTTGAGATTCTTGATCGAGTGGGAGAGGTGACTTACAGACTTGCGTTGCCACCGAGCTTATCAGCCATGCATCTAGTGTTTCATGTGTCCATGCTGCGGAAATATCACGACGATCCATCCCACGTGTTAGATTTCAGCACTGTCCAATTGGACAAGGACTTGTCTTATGAGGAGGAGCCGGTAGATATTCTTGACCGACTGGTTCGTCAGTTGATATCGAAGAGTTTTCCTTCTGTTCGTGTTCAGTGGAGAGGTCAGCCCGCTGAGGCATCGACCTGAGAGTCCGAGTTCGATATGCGAAGCCGTTATGCCATTCTTTTCCCCGACTCAGGTACTTCCTTCTTCTGTATGTTCGAGGATGAACGGTTGTTTTAGAGGTGGAGGATGTGATGACCCAAAAGGTCATCATCACTTGTTTTAAAATCACCTCGATTTGTGTGCACAGTCAGGGCGCGTAGCTGGAAAGCCATTTTGTGAAAATCTGTGAAAAATAAAGAATTTTGCCTTTAAAATAAGTTTAAGTTGACTTCGGTCAAAATTTTGGGTAAACGGACCCGGACCCGTGGGTCCTGGAGAGTCTGTAGGAAAATATAGAACTTGGGTGTATGTCCTGAATCGAATTCCGAGGTCCCAAGCCCGAGAAATGAATTTTTGAAAGAAATTATTTTGCTGAATTAATTATGAGTTTTTGAAAGTGAAATGTGTTTGAAACCATTGGTATCGGGCCTGTATACTGGTTCCGGAGCCCAGTACAGGTCTTATATATGATTTGAGTAGAGCTTGTGAAAATTGGTAAGAAACGGATTTGAAATGACGTGAATCGGATCGTTTTTGAGAAAATTGGAAAATTTGAAGTTCTTAAGAAATTTAATGATTTTGATGCTAACTTAATAGTTGTTGATGTTATTTTAGTGATTTGAATGCACGAGCAAATCCGTATGATGTTTTTAGGTTGGTTTGCATGTTTGGTTTGGAGCCCCGAGGGCTCGGGTGAGTTTTGGATAGGTCACACAGTGAAATTTAACTTAAGGAATATCTGGTATGCTTCAGGCCTGCAGGCTTTGCATTTGCGAAGCCTGTCTCGCAAATGCGAGCTCGCAAATGCAAGCCATGTGTCGCAAATGCGAGATGTGGCCTGGGCTGCCTTCTTCGCAAATGCGAAGTGACTGCCGCAAATGCGATAACTGCCTGGAATGCCCCTTGGTCGCAAATGCGAGACTTCAGTCACAAATGCGACATTTCATTCTCAAATGTGACATTTCATTCGCAATTGCGAACCCTGGTCGCAATTCCCATATCTGCAACCTGCAATTTTATAACTTAGCCGAAAATCTCCCATTTTTCACACTCTTTCAAAACCAAAACACTCTTGGGCGATTTTTTAAAGACAACTCTTCTTCCAAATTGATTGTAAGTTAATTTTAACTCGTTTCCTTCAATTATTAACATCTTTTCACATGATTTCAATTCAAAATCAATGATTTTCATGGGAGAAATTGGGTGTTTTGGGTAGAGCCTAGGTTTTTCAAAAATTGGGAATTTGGACCTCGATTTGAGGTTCGATTTCAAAACAAATTATATATTTTGGTTCGTGGGGGAATGGGTAATCGGGTTTTGATTTGAACCTAGGGTTTTGACCATGTGGGCCCGGGGACAATTTTTGACTTTTTGGGTAAAACTTTGGAAAACCTATTTTCATGTATTGGAATTGATTCATTTAGCGTTTATTGATGTAATTAAGTATCTTGTGGCTAGATACGAACGAATTGGCGGTAGAATCAAGAGGTAAAGCAATAGTAGAGACTTGAATTGTGTTTGTGGCATCGAGGTAAGTGTTTGGCCTAACCTTAGCTTGAGGGATTAAGAGTCGAGTCCTATTTGCTATGTGGTATTTGTCGAGTATGACGTATAGGCATGGTGACAAGTATCTATACATTGGTGTCAAGCATGCCCGTGAGTCTTATATTGTGATTATTATGACTTCGTTGTACTATTCATGCTTTGATAATGATTTCTATTGTTGGGCAAAGTTTGTGGAAGTAATTGAGACATTTAAACATTGAGGAGCGTTGGCTCAAGTTGTACAATAAAATGTGAAAGTATAAGTGGAAATTGAACCTTTTAGAGCATTGGCTCAAGTTGTGAAGTGAGTTGAGAAGTAAAAGTGAAAAAGAGAAGAGAATGATTATATTATCTCCCTTGCCGGGATATTGTTGCCTTTGATGTTATCTCCCTTGCCGGGATGTTGATGTTCCTTTTAATGTTGTTCCCTTGCCGAGATTTTTTATTGCAATTTCATTTATTTCCTTGCCCTCATTTCTTATGATTGTTGTTTGGGTGAGGAAAAGTGATAAAGCACGGCGGGTGATGCCGTGTATGATTTTGTGAGGAAGAGTGTAAAGCACGAAGGGTGATGTCGTGCCGCACGATGTACAATTCCATGTCGATTATATTGATTCTTGGTACAGATTAGAGTAAAAGCACGAAGGGTGATGCCGTGCAGTTTATATTGATTCTTATGGTAAGAACGAGAGTAAAAACACGAAGGGTAATGTCGTGCACTTGTCCTTGACTTTCCTGATTCTTGCTGATAATTGAGTTATGTTGTCCTTTACGTTTATTTACTGATTTCCTGTTGTTACTTAATTTTATTTCGATGTTATAGATTCCCTTACCCTTTTGCCCTGTGATTGTTGCTTGGGTGAGGAAGAGTGTAAAACACGAAGGGTGATGCCGTGTATTGTTTTGGTGAGAGAGTATTAAAGCACGAAGGGTGATGTCGTGTATTGTTTTGGTGAGAGAGTGTTAAAGCACGGAGGGTGATGCCGTGTAGTTGTCTTTGATTTCCTGATTTTTATTGATAAATGAGTTACGGTTTCTCTACATTTAATTGTTGGTTTCCTGTTGATACTTGTTGTACCCCGCAACATGATTCCCCCTTCCTATTTTTAATTGAATTGTGGTGATCCTCATATTTATTTGTTGCTCTTCTGTTATTATTCGATATCCCCGCAGCATGTTACCCCTCCCATGCTTAACTATACATTACTGTTCTTCTTTTCTGCTGTTTATGATTTAACTGCACAGATTTATTTGGTAGTCTGGTCATAACCTCGTCACTACTTTGCCGAGGTTAGGCTAGGCACTTACCAGTACATAGGGTCGGTTGTGCTGATACTACACTATGCATCCTTTTGTGCAGATCCCAGTGCTATAGACTTCGGACCGCAATGAGATTGTTGTCTTGTTCATCAGGCGACCCGAGGTAGTTTTAAAGGCGTTCGCAGGCCTTGGCGTCTCCATCTATCTACTATTCCTGTTTCTTCCATGTATTTCCAAAGACAGTGTTGTATTTATTTCTTTCAGACCTTTATTTGTAGTACTTCTAAATAGTCTGTGAAGTTGTGACACCAGTCTTGAGTAGATTTGTTATGGATTGGTATTAGCAGTATTATTAAAACATTACAATGCAGCCTTCCGCTTATTCAATTATGTTGTTATCTAATTGTTGGCTCTTAACTGTTAACTGATTAAAAATAGAAACAAGGTAAATAGTTTAGTTGGTTGGCTTGCCTAGCTTTCACTAGTAGGCGCCATCACGACTCCCGAGGGTGGAAAATCCGGATCGTGACATTTATACAATATGTCTTTTGTATATTATGTATCTGATTTATACAAAATAAAAACAAATTTCATACAACTAATTATATATTATATAGTTTATCTACAACTTATCTACAACTTTCACACGTTATTTCTATCCAGTTAAATACAACTATAATAACATACAACTTAAATACAAATTTTTTACAATATGTCTTTTATATATTTGGTATCTGATTTATACATAGTAAAAACAAATTTCATACAACTAATTATATATTATACAACTTATCTACAATTTTTATACATTATTTTTACTTAGTTATATACAACTACAATATCATACAACTTAAATATAATTTTTATATAATGTTGTTCAACTTTCATACAATAGTTAAATAAAGCTTCAAAGCTTTTTAATGGCTGTCAATGGTGGAATTGCTACTCTCTTTTCCTTTGCTTTACATTACTGGAATTAGGGATTGAGAGATAGAGAGACGTAGAGAGAATTTCCAATTCTTTGCAACAACATCCAATTCAAACAAATAATGTTTTTTGAAAACCCAAATTCGAATTCAGAGCCTCAAAGCTTTTTAATGGTTATCAATGGTGGAATTGCTGCTCTCTTGTGCAAGATACGTAGGGGAGAAGGAGTGAGATGTGGAGAGAGAAACGTGGGGAGTGGAAGATACGTTAGAGTGATTTTAGGACACTAATTATTATCATTAATTCTCTTAAAATGTACATAAATGATAATTGGGTATATAAATAAAATATAATTATATTAAAACTTGTTGAGTAGAGAGGATAATATAATTTCATAAGAATGTAAAAATTTTAAGAAATTTTAAGGTAATCTTCGGAAAAGATGCTCAGTTAACTGGGCTGTAATACATTTCCAGCTCCACTTAAATGGGGGCTCAACAAAAACATCTCCATGTCACATGCAAACACGCGTCCTCTTTTCTCTTACAAAAAGCAAAAAAGAACTCTCTGGAACTCTCTATTCAGCGCCACTCTCCCCCAACAAAACAAAAGGAAAAAAAAGTTTACCTATCAAAAGCTCACCAATACTGTGAAAAGCCATTGATAGAGCTCACAATAACGCTTGATAGTCTCCCGGTAAATTCCTTATTTCTCTTCTCCTTTTTTCACCCATTATTTCAATGTATTAAAACCCTATGTTTTGTATCAATCAATTTCTTTCAAATATTTTCCTCTTTCTTCAAACGTGGTTTTATGCATTTCTTTTTTAATTTGAAAGACGGCGATTTTGAACTTTTTTTTTTGAATTATCAGGAGAGAGCAATGTCGAGGGTTTACGTTGGTAATTTGGATCCTCGGGTAACTGAGAGAGACCTTGAGGATGAGTTTCGTATCTACGGCGTTCTTCGAAGGTAAATTTTTCCTATGTATTTTTAGATGGAATTAGGTTTTAAAGTTCCTCGTTCAATTTATCAGTTCATCTTTCGTTGGATGGTCCAAGTCGTATTTTTCGGAAAAAAATGAAGGATCTTTTGGGATAAATTAGTTTTTGTAGTTATTATAAGCTCATGTTTTATTGTTTTTCTTGTTTGTTTAAATAACGATGGTGCCTGGGCGGACCAGCTTGCGCGCACCTCCACTATTTCACCAAAGTTTGACAGATGGGGAGAAATCACCTGACTTCTTTGCCTCTGTTGACAATCGAACTTTGGTCTCTCATGGTCTTCATTTCAGCTTCATCGACACCTAGGCCACATTCTTGGTATTGTTTTCTCGTGTTTCTCTTTCTTTTGAATTAGCTCAAAAAAGAAATTCAATTCAAGATATTCTCAACACAAAAAAAAAAAAAAAAAAAAAAAAAAAAAATTTGACCTTCATGAAAATGAGATTGGGTTTAGAAATTGGAGTGGAACTTGAAATCTGAAGCATCGTGAGAGGATGAGAGAGGTTGCTCTAGCAGTAGAGATTGCTGCCTTACACCATTAGGTGGGGTTCGAGTCACCGGTGAGGGACCGGGTAAACCCCACTTTTGCCTTGGGGTTGTTTTTTGGGGGGGGGGGGGGAGGTGAAAATGAGGAGTTGTTAAATGAAAAAGGACATCTCAAAGGATCGTATTTGTTACTCACTTTGTTCCATTTTATGTGGCAATATGACCATTTGGTAAGTCAAAGCAGGGGCGGATCTAGTAAGGGCGGAGGGAGTGGTACGCCACCCGCAACCTTCGGTAGAAACTCTGTATATATATTTAAGAAACCGTATATATATTGAAAGCGCCACCCATAGCACCAAATGATACAAAGGTGCCAGTGCCAAAGAGCAGGAGATTCCACCTTGATTGTGAATGATCAAATCCTACTGGCAATAGTTTTTGTACTTTTTGGCTTGCTACATCACGTTGAGCTTTCTATCATTCTATACATGTCATTCTCTTTTTTCTTCTAGTGTAATTATTGTTCAATATCATACTTTATTTGTTAATTTTTGACTTTCTTTTGGTGTCTCTTATTAGTTAAGTATTTGCTTTTTTCGCACAAAGTTAAAATAACATTTTCTTTTGCAAATCTTCGCTCTATCATAACTGCAGTACCATATTTTTTCCGTACAATTGATTTATATATTGTATACAAAAAAGACAAGTAACTCGAATCGAAGTCCAAAGTTGCTCAAACGGACAAAATATTTACTATATCTCAATGTATAAATAGTGACACATGGACGTTCAAAGCTATGTGGCACCTGGAAGTTCCAAATCCTGAATTCGCCTCTGAGTCAAAGAGATTCTTCTTCGACCATCATTGTTCAAGTACTTTTTAAAAATGTTCTGAATTATTAACTATTGTGACTTATTGTAATTTCCAAATATGTGAAGTTTATTTCAAAAAACTTGAAGGATTTATGTTCGACTTCACACCGAAAATTAAGTACTTTGACCCTTGTGGCCTGGACCCGCCACATAAAATGGAATGGAGGATGTATGTTTTAGGTATATAAATAAGTCGAGTGTTAAGTGGAGCACCTCAGTTAGTTTCAATATTTGGGAAGCTTTATTTGGCTGGTGAATTTTTTCTCATACTACTTCGATTGTGTTTTGTTATGTCTCTTTTACTGCTTTAAATGTCCTATGTATGGATTACACATTGTGTGAAGATGTTGTCAGAACTCGCAGAAGTTAAACGACTTAAGATGATGAGCTCCACCTCCCTGAAGGAACAAATCTCAAAACAGAAGCTAGTGGCTTCAGCAGTCTGCATTGGTTCTTTGGTCTAGTCCATGAATGACTACTTGGTCTAGGTGGTGTTTAAAAGGTCTTTTACCCTATTGAACTTATCATAAAAAAAGAAGCTCTTTTACCCTAATGAGATGCATGTAGTTTATACCTATCTGACTTTATGAAAATAGCTTACACTGTCTGATGAACAAGCCTATGGCTATACAACCTAATGTGTTGCAATAGCTACTGCATTTTCTATCATTGTTTTTACATCCCTTTGTGTTGAGCTACTTCCTTTTGCCTAAAGTTTCATAGTATATCTTGTTTTCTTCTCATATTCCATAAGACCGATGACAAAGATTGCATTTTTGGGCGTCTTTGTTGTCTGTTTCGGCCCTCTTTATATGTTTTGGGTGTGATATTATTGTTTTGCACATAATTAAAGTGTTATTAATTTGGTGCAGTGTTTGGGTTGCAAGACAACCGCCAGGTTATGCATTCATTGAGTTCGACGATCGCAGGGATGCTCTAGATGCTATTCGCGAGCTAGATGGTATGAACCGAGTGTTGGGCACCATACATCAATAGCTAGCTGAGTATGGTGATTGTAGTTGACCCTTTTTTAGTAATAATAACATGCAAGTTCAGGTTATCAGTATAACCTTCCATTTTGGTTCTTATCTTTTCTATGAGAAGACTGTAGCATGCCCCTTTATGGTCCACAACTGATATCTTATGTTGAACTTCGTTTTACCAGGCTTTCCTTCAAGTAATGATATGGTTAGTGTAGTTTAAAACATGCAGATCTTGCTAATTATCACCAGTTTCATTCTGTCTAGTGCATGTTTTCATAGAACGATTCATTTTTGTTTTCGGCGTACCTCGTACTTCTGGACTTTTCCTCTGTGATGTAATTCTTGCCTGCCTTCTAAGTTGTGTGTCTTCTCGTAATAATCTCTTAAGAAACGTCCAATGGAATAGATAGTGATCATACATATAACTACTGCTGAACATTCAGATGTAATATTACTTGAGTGTGTTGTAGCTTTGTTCACAATATGTGATACTTCCTGAAAAAAAATGTGTGATACTAATCTGAAAAATAAGTCCAGTGGAACAGAATCTGCTGACATTTCAGTTTTAATAATAGATGAGTGTGATACAGGTTCATTCAGAAAACTTCTTGCCTGTAAGACTTTATTTTTATCTCTTCTTGGATAGTAACTGTGCTACATCCATCCCTGGTGAACCTTTGGGGAAATCTGTATAACAGGGAAAAATGGTTGGCGTGTGGAGCTCTCACACAATTCAAGCGGTCGTGGTGGAGGCCGTGGTGGTCGTGGAGGTGATGATACGAAATGTTACGAGTGTGGTGAGCCAGGTCATTTTGCTCGAGAGTGCCGCTTGTGCATTGGTTCACGAGGACTTGGAAGTGGGCGACGTCGAAGTCCTAGTCCTCAATATCGTAGAAGTCCCAGTTATGGGAGAAGGTCTCTCTCTCTCTCTCTCTCTCTCTCTTTCTTTGATTTTAATCAAATGGGGCTTATCTCCTAGTTTATGTGCAATGTACTGATGCACATTATTCAATCAACTCACATTGCGGAGCTTCTTGAACTCTAGTTTTATGCTACTTGACTGTGAAGAAGAAAATATTTCATTTGTCATAGAACCTTGTCAGAGCCATGCAAGTTAGGGTGATGTTACACTACAAAATAATGCCTACATAGTCATCCTTCTGGTGGGTTCTTTTGTCTCGATGGCAGATATAACATCACAGCTATGTCAGTGTCTTCACTTGGTGTATGACGTAAGAAATATATGTGAACACTTGGCTGTTTATAACCTTCTTTTTCTTTTTCCTCTTTGCAAATTAGGCCACTCTTTAATTTGCTTTTTGTACATTCTATTCATTACCTAAATGGTAACACATAGAGGTCCGAGGAGAGTGGATTTGTCTACTTCCTGGTCACCAGCTTAGCCAGTTGCATTATTCATATGCATGCGTATATATCCTATATATCATGGTTCTCGATGGTCGTGACGTTGCAGCTACAGAGATATTGTTTTGGATATATACAATTTTAGTTTTTCCAGAGTATTGCTGTTGTCTTTTACTTTGGTTATCTTTACTATTTTTGGTGTCAATACTTTTCTTTTCTTTTCATCTTAGCTTTTTTACTCTTGTACTTTCCAAACCTGTTTGGAAAACCCTTTTCTTGAGCCAAGGCTCTATTGGAAACAACCTTTCTACCTCACACAAGGTAGGGGTAAGGTCTGCATACACCCCACCCTCCCCCGACCCCACTTGTGGTATCACATTGGGTATGTTATTTAGTTTTTCTTGAGTACTTCTATCAGATGGGCTTCATAATATCAAAAGGTGGTGCTTCATCATCTTAGTTGATGGCCTATAACTTGGGTGGCAGTGACAAGTTCTATTTTAGTACTGCTTTACTTCTGAATATAATAAGTCACTTGGTTTTGAATTCAGGGTAGAGTTCTTGTCCATATAACAATTTTCTTCGAAATTTTACATTTTGAGGAACATAGTGATGTGGCTTTGCAGGAGTTATAGCCCTCATGGAAAATCTCCTCGAGGTCGTAGCCTATCTCCTCGTCGTGGACGCAGCTACAGCAAGTCACCCCCCAATCACCGGGGCCGCTATGTGTCACCTTATGCCGACGGGTAAGTAATTGATGAACATATTTACGGCATACGCATTTACTGGGGCAATTCTTGAGTTTCGCCTTAAAACTGAGTCTGAAACAATCTTTAGGTAGAAGTCTGAAACAATCTTTAGGTGGAAATTTTCTATAAAACTTTCCAAGGCCTCCATGTTAATTTTGTGGATTTGGAATTGGATGAGAGCATTAGATCTGCTGCTTTTTTCTGGGAGCCCCTGCAGCAACAGACCCTTATTGACTATCTTTTACTTGAACAGTTTATCACCTTGTCGTGGCCGTGGCAGCTATAGCAGATCCCCAGCATATCGTCGTCATCGTGATTCTCCTTATGCAAGCGGGTATGTTTGTTTGCTGCCTCCTAGTGGTTTCATCATTAAGCTAGCTTTTTCTCCCATTACTGCCTATCAACGCAGAGTTGAGTATCTTTTTACTTTTTTGTGGTTTGGGTGGGTATTAGGGCTTCAAATAAAGCACATTAAGAAATAATATTATTCTACTTTGTGCTTATCAATTTCGCATGAGCAGTGCTTCCTTGTATTGTTAAAGTTATGAACTTTTATTTTGCAATTTCTTTGCACAATACTCACACGGGCACTTGGAATTGATGTTTTGTGCAGAGCTTGATGGTCTGAGTGGGAAATACAACTGAGGCTCTTCGTTTGTAGTCTGATAGGCTTGTCAAAAGAGTAGCATTATGTAGTTTGTTTCTGTGATAAATGGTGTGTTCGAACTGGATTATGGGAGGCTTCTGCTCTCCATAGCCACCTCCGGACTTCATTCTTGTGCCGGCTTTTCTCAGTTCAGCAAACTTTGGAGGTCTCTTTTATACTTCATTATTGTTTAATGTGTGCTCTTAATTGCTATGACTATTATCATAAAGTCACCTTTTCGTAAAATATCTAGGTTTTCTTCTTTGAGGTATGATTTCCAGCTGAGACTGCATCATTTCGCGACATGCTTCTTTTGTTGACATTGTTTAGCACCAGTGCTTCTCTACATCAAATCATCATCTTGTATGAGTTTTTTCCTACTGAAAACTGTAAANCTCATCTGCTTCTCTTCCCACTGGTAGACTACAAAAGGTTGCTGCACTTCAATTTTCGTTTTCCTGCTTGGACCGTATTCTTCTTCATTATCAGATAGTGTGGCAACACATTACTTTTGGAGGAAATTCATTACCTTCATTAATGGAACTTCCATGTGGTGGCTCGGAGAAGGAAAGTTACCTTTGTTTCCGCGTTCTGCATTTTATACCTACCGTGTTTGTAGTCAAGAAATGTGGCTGCAGGGCATGTACATACATCTTCGATATGTCATGTTATTGACTTGGCCTTGACATGTAGTTGGACCTTTAATACTGCGTTATAAATTCGATGTCGCATATGCAAATGTCAAGTCAAAACTCCTTGCATTTGGCTAGTCACTTGGGGATTGAATTTTCTTAACTAGGCTGGTGGCATGAATCCCACGCTATACTTGAAGATTTCTGAAAGAGCAGTTGAGATGGTTCTTGTACATAAGAAAAAGTTGATCAGAGAGCACCCACTTAATATGTAGGGGAAACAACCCTTTTGGTCTTTGTATTATTGCTTTATTAAAATTTTAAATTTTAAGCCTTATGTCTGACAAAACAAGTTCGACCTTCTATTGACAAGCTTAACGGAGCTAACGTTACACTAGGACAATTTTGGTTTTCTACGCCACCTCAGTAATCTCCTCCTCTAACCTTTGCCTCATACCTTCAGCTTTGGACTTGGATTCTTCCACTTTGGTTGGTCAACTGATCCGTTGATATCGCCGTTCACATGAGATAACGAATGGGGTTGGGGAGCACTGACAAGATTTAGGTTAGAGGACTTCTAGTCTCCATTCTTTCATTATTGTCTGCTTCTAAACATTAAATTGAGCAAAGACAGTGATGGAAATGTGAAGTTATATCGGATGATTTACCTGTTCTCTTTTCATTTACTTTTGCTATGACATGCATCAAATAGCCTTCTTGAAATTCCACGATAGGGAAGTACCAGAGGAAGCAACACCAGAAGTCCTAATCGAAGAAATAAATTGCCAGAAATTGATTGATAGTTTTAACTTTTTGTTCTCCTTTCTTGACTGTCAAATGAGAACTTCTTTGCCAAATTGAATATGTTTTCCCAGAAGTCTAGACAAAATGACGTGACAGTGGAGGTGGACAAATTTTATGGAACCTATGCTTATCATGGGTGAGACCGAATTGCGCATTCAATTCAATTGAAGGTCAACCATGCGGGCCCATATGTCATAGTATGGCCGCAAGTAGGAGCGACAAACGGGCAGGTCGGGTCGGATATGGTTCGGGTCGAAAACGAGTAATGAAAAAATGGATAAATTATCCGACCCGACCCATATTTAATACGGACAAAAAAGGGGTTAACTGGCGGATAATATGAGTAATCGTATTATCCATGACTTCTTGCATATGATCACTTTTGAGAGAATTCTTAGTCTCCTTAATTTGAGGAGCCCCCAAGTTGAGGCTTTAATTTACAAATGTAAAAGTTAGACTAATTAATTATCCATTTAGAATCCATTTTCTAAATGGATAATATGGTTCTTATCCATATTTGACCCGTTTTTAAAAAGTTTATTATTCAACTCATTTTTTAGTGAATAATATGGTTGGTTAACTGTTTCTTTTAACCATTTTGCCACCCCTAGCTGCTAGTGGTTGAAGAGCTGTTTGAGCATGATTTCGGCGAAGCGTTCAAGGACTTTAGCTAACTGGAATAAAGTAATAACACTGAGGACAAAAGATGTTACTGTGTAACTTCAGGATTTTCTTGTTAAGAGTTGCTTAATATATATAGTTCATAGAAACCAGAAAGTAATTTAACCAGAATAGATGGCAATTTAATCATTCTCTATACTCCACCATCTTGCTAGAAGCTGAAACCAGAACCCGATGTCACAAACTGCAGATTTCAAGCCATAACTCTATGATTATATGAGGCCTTTTCGCGAATTCATCTTGATGAGTGTAATGTATCTTAATATCAGATCCCATGCAATATACATTGTTATCAGAACTATAGCATACCTGAGACAAAATATTTATTTATTTATGGTTTGAGTAACATATACCAGTAATTCATAGGAAGAACCATTTTTTTTTTCTCTCGTTAAAATATACCATAGTTTAAAAAACTTAGTTATGTACCGTCAAGGTAGGAAATATATGTTATCTACTTAAGGTGAGATGCACAATATCTATCTATCTATCTATACTATATTAAAAGCACAAAGACCCTTAGCGAAATGTCATTCGCCTTTTTTACCCTTTAAAACTATATTTTACATCGGATAAAGTTGTAAAATAAAAAATCAACATCTTATTTTTCATGTTATATTCTTCAATCCACTGAATTAGCACATAGATAAGCTTAACAACAACATCCACAAACATAATAAAACTATTTATAACAATTTTCAGCCACAACAAACCATATATATAGCTTCAATACAACCCACAAAAAAGATAGCGATTCCTTATGCCATGTCAATTACTATCTTGTAGATTTTCACTCAAACAACTCAACCAACACATGATTGACCTTAAGCACAACCAAGAACATGATTTAATAACCTTAGTCAGTAGATACAACTTGAAATCCCCAGCTGATGTAGCTCACAACAACCCTCAATCACACCACAACACTATAGGAGTTGTATTCTCTTCTTGAATCAACTTTTGTGTTCATGTTGGTGTGTAAACACTTGTATTTCGCCTTGAAACTCTAATATACATGAAGGAGGTACTGATTCATAGCATAATCATAAAGAATAACACGAAATTTGAGGTTATTTACCTTTGAAGAACCCTCCAAAACAGCTACAAGATGAAGAACTACGATCTAGCAAGCACCACAGGATTTCTAGCATTGGATTCATGTTTTTATCTTAGGTTTTCACTCTAAAATCATGGAGGAACTATTGGAGAGAATTTAGGAGGGTTTAGGAACTATTTTGGATGAGAAAAATGAGTTAAAACGACCTATCAATGACTTAAATACAAGCTGAACTTTAAACCGACTTTGTGGGTCCCATGGGAGCTGTTTGCGCAGTCTCGCAAAAATACGAATATCTCTCTAGTCTGATGCCATATTGACAAACGGTTTAATGCATTAGAAACTAGACTCGTAGATCTTCAATTTGATATGTATATCATCCCTTGATTCCAAGTATATTGGGAGAAAAGTGCAGCTACATTTGAGCTAAATTTCAGCACATTATGAATGCAACTTGTGATGACCTTTGACAACTTTTTTTGCACAACTCGCTTGACTTAAAAACATAATACACGACTATCATACAACTAAAATGACTCATAACTTAATCTCCAAATCATGTTAATCACCCTAGTCTCCCCCAAAAGTATATGTTATAACATTCTAAACTTGTCGACTTTCGACGAAACTTATTTTCTTCAATTCGTTTAGCGTCTAAGCTTTCCAACCCTTTTGGTACTTGTTATTCATGATCTTAAAGATTTGTAACCTCTAAGATAACATGATGAACTTACGTTATGTACTTTCAAAAATGATCTCATTTTCGAGCTTGCATCAATTGGCTTACGACGTACTCTCACGTACGAAAACATGGGATGTAACAAGTTGTTATCTTATTAGTTTTGCTTCATCTTTCAGTTATTTTGTTTCCTTACAACTTGGTACATTATTTCGTACTGACGTCCCTTTTTGCAGGGAATGTTGCATTTCATGCCTGTAGGTCCTGATTGACAGTTTGACAGACCCTCCCAACAGACAGAGTAAAACATCAGTTTGGTTTGTAAGCTCCACTTCCTCGGAGTTACCAGGTCTAGACCTTGGAGTCCATTTTATATATACATGTTTGATGGGTAGGTCGAAGCCTTGTCCCGACCATGGTACAGTTCAGTTATCTCTAGAGGCTTGTAAACGAGTCCTGTATATTTTGTATATCAGTAGATGTTCATAGCGGCTTCGTTGGCCTGCACAGTTATACATATAAGCTTTTGAGTATGTTTACCCCACAGATGAGAGAGGCATTAATTTCAAACGATTCGGAATATGGCCTCATCGGCCTAAGCTGAGGGTTACCCCTCTAGAGTTTACAGTTACAGTATGGTATGCTCGGGCCGGTGGCGACATGCCTCTTCAGGTTTGAGGCGTGACAAACTTGGTATCAGAGCAGTTTTGTCCTAGGGAGTCTACAAGTTATGTCTAGTAGAGCCTTGTTTATAGATGTGTTGTGCACCACATTTATAAATAGGAAGCTACAAGGTATTTAGGAGTTTGTTACCCTTCTTTCATATCCACATCGTGCTGTAGAGTTGAGTCATAAGAGTTCGAGCCATGACTTATGTTTGCTAATTATAGAGATGCTTGCAATTTAAAAAATTACAGCTAGCCTGAGCACTAATACAACAGCAGGTAAGGGCATTAGTAGAGAGAGAATTCTTGACGACGTGGCCTGTTTGAGGCCCTATTAGATCGTGCATACCAGATGGTGCACTCTGGAATAGTATAGTCAAATATGAATACTAGAACGTTAAAAAATATCAGAAGACATGTAGTGGCATCCTATAAGTGATAAATATTTTCTTTAGTGTGACTCCTGCCCCTAGTAAAAAGAGAAAAATAGGCGACTCGAAGAGCCAGTGAGATAGAGAAAGAGGAGATAAAAGTGAAAGAATGTTTTCTTGAAGTTTTCATAGTAAGGTAATAAACAGAGATATTAGCAGGAGAATAAGAGAGAATAAATGAAGCATTACGAATAAGATTTGATGAACGAGTGGTAACGGTAAATCATAATATGACAGGATGACATACTCTATAGTCAAGTAAAGAAAAGGACAAGAGGTGACAACCCTTGAGACTATAA